GCTGCCGAAAGAGAGAGAGCTGCTCATCAAAGGCAGATGGAACGAGGAAAGGGCTCGGGAACTGCAACAGGAAGCTGCCAGACTTCAGCTCCAAGTCTTGGAAGAGCGAAAGAATCTGCCCCAGCCTGAAGCTCCAACTCCCCTCCACAACAGCAAAACTGGGAAAGGATTTGTCCCATTTACAAAGATACGGAAGACATAGAGGAATTTCTGTCTACCTGTGAATGCTTATGCAGTCTTCACAAAGCCTTGGATGAACAGTGAATGCCTGTCCTGCTAACCAGGTTGAGTGAGAGGTATTTCATGAATCAAGAGGGCAAGAAGTGTTAGATTATGAGCTGTTTAAAGATCCTGTGTTAAAGCAATTCAAGGTCACTCCTGAATCTTACAGGCTACAGTTTAGATGTTTTAAAATGTCTAATGATTGTACTTTTGTGGAATGTGCTCATAAATTTATGGGTTTTGTTAAAAAGTGGGTTGTGGGAGCAAAGGGTCATGAGAGTTCTGAAAATTGCTAGATTCAATCACTTTGGAATGATTTTTGGACATTCTTCCTGAAAATCTTAGAGCAGCTGTCTGGGATAGAGAACCCGATTCAGTCTTGTGGGCCACAGAAATTGCAAATGCTTATACAGAAAATAGGGTTTGAGAAGGGTATAAGCCCCATGGGAAGAGTATTCACTATTCACCCCTCTTTAAAAAGAGGGAAGGATTTAAAAATAAACCTAACCCTAACTTTAATAAGAGAACTCAGGGGAGCCCAGAACGAAAGAACTCTTACCTTAAAGGGAAACAAGTTATATGCCACCTCTGTGGTATGCCAGGCCATATAAAGCCAGATTGTAAAAATCTAAGGAACACCCCAAAACCAGCACCCCCAATACCCCAGTAAACACTAATCCAGTTATTCTGCCCAACCAGGCAGACCCAACACTGCCATCTGACGTCCAAATGTGGTCACTGCAATCATTAATACTACCTCAATGATCTCTGATGATGTGGGCGAAGGATTTGAATTTACAAACTATGTTAGGACTGAAGCATGGAAGGGAAATGAGAAATGTATAAAGGGAGCAAAAGTCAATGGAGTTGAAGGGAAGGGATGGCGAGATATGGGCTCTGACACCTCTTACCTCACAATTCTACAGCCTCAGGATGTGGCAACATCTACCAACACAAGGATATACATGTTAGATTAGCTAATAAGAGTTGGCTGTAAGTGTGCATTTGGGTAAGATTGGAAATATTCATTGACCTGGGGGGTAATGTGTTTGATCCTTTGGGAGTGGTAGAACTTTTTATATGATGAACAAGATTTTCTGTCATCCTCATTATATTTGACTTGGCGGTCTGGGTGGGAGCTCAAGGCTGGGTTGCCTTAAGGGAACTGTATTTCTGGCTTCTGGGTAACAAGTAAGGTATTGTAGAAGCTGTTTTGTTGCTGGATTGATGAATGTAAATTTTAGAAATAATCTCCAGTTTCGGGAATCATCTACCCCATTCTTTGCAGTTTGCCCTGATTAAGCAATCTCAGTGTGCCCCCCCGGAACCCTGGTCACATATGAATAAGGCAGAACAAGCTCAGTCTCCGATTTTAGATGGTAGCAGCCCAAATTAAGTATCCCTTGCTTCTAGAGGAATGGATATTGGATGGAAGAGATGAATTATTGTCCACGGTATCCTCACCACAGGGACTATTTTTGCCTTATGTTATATGGGAGGAAAGATCAGAACAATAATTTAAAAAAAGGTCAAAACCCATTTTCGTTCAATCCAACCTATTTCCATTCCCCTTTTAGCTACTGTCACCTCACCTGTAGCAGCTATAGCTGATGTTAGAGAGGATGGCATTTATGAAGATATGCACTAGCATAAACCCACATCAAATTCCAGAAACCTCCATATGCTTCTGCACCGAAGTCCAGGAGAACAGTAGATCCACCACATGAGTTGATATCTGAAGAAATAACTATCCCTTAATAATTATAGAATAATTAAGTTACAAGTATACAGTAATTAGATTTAATTGACATATAGGGTTTAAGTACATATAAGTGTTAAGTTACTAATAACAGTGTTTGTTGTGTACCACTGTATACCTTTTTTGGGGGTGGAGGGTCATAATATTCACCCTGTCAAGGGGGGCACACTAGTCAATTAGTTCATTTTATCATCCATTTGCCATTGTATTATGTGATGTTATGGTCAATTTATGGCTATTTCTTATATAATCAATGTATGCTAAATAGATTTAAATTGTAGGATTATAGAAGTACAGTACTGATAAGTATTTAGGGGTGATGAGTATGTATTAGCTATATAAGTAAAGCATGGTTGAAATGTAAGGCCTACAGGCTGAGACCAGTAAGATTTTAGTTTAGCCATACTAGGCCATAGGCTTATACATGCTTAACATAAGTGATCTAGGAATAACCCTATGCCCATAAGGTTACAAGGTCACTGCATAAGATGTACCAATAGGAAAAATGGATTGCAATAAACCACAAATGTATTGTCTGAGACCACGAGACACCTGATAATAACATCTTCAAATGTCTGTCCAGACCAAAGGGTACATGTCATGCCTAGAGGCTAATAAGCATAAGAGGAACTATGAACAACTTATGGAAAATGAGGTACCCCAACATTCATGGGGTGTGGAAGTACAGATAAGGGAAAGGGGGCTGACACCTTCATGCATGTGCATAAGGTGTTAAGCGTGGTTAGAATTACATGGGAGGTTTAGGTTGGACATTAGGAAAAACTTCCTAACTGTCAGGGTGGTTAAGCACTGGAATAAATTGCCCAGGGAGGTTGTGGAATCTCCATCATTGGAGATTTTTAAGAGCAGGTTAAACAAACACCTGTCAGGGATGGTCTAGATAATACTCAGTCCTGTCATGAGTGCAGGGGACTGGAGTAGATGACCTCTCGAGGTCCCTTCCAGTCCTATGATTCTATGACTATATAAAGGGTTCCCTGGTTGGATAAAAGTGGGAATACCCACAGGAGAAACCCCAGCAGGAACTAACCCTCTACTGCCGATCAATTGGTGAGAGGTCCATCGGAGCCAAGAACATCTTTGAGGATGTGAGTATGACTACAGCTATAATTATTGCACAGAATTGGTAGGATTTCTACATGCCTGGGTCCTAGTCATTTCACTTATTGCTTTCATAAAACTTGTCGTACAGATAAGACTTTGTACTTGGGATTGTGTCTGTGGTCGTTATCCTTGGACGACGTGTGTTCCTAGAGCCTCCAAACTTGAGACAAGCACCACAGGAGATTTCACTCTGTTGAGCCTGAAACTGCAGCATCCAGAGCTGAACCCATGGTGGAGTAATAAAACATCCCTAAATTCATCTGTAATGGGGCAGGACTCACCCCCGCGGCGCCTCCTGCTGGTTCCTGGGAATTAACTCTGTTTCCAGCTCTGGAGCGCCCTCTGCAGGCCAATGTCCCGCTTGCCGCTGGCCCTCGTGTCCCTCCCAGGACCCCGGTGCCCTTTTACCTGGGGTGCTGCCCTTCCAGGCAATACCCCACAGCTCTGGGTCTCCCCTCCCCAGGGAACCCCCACCCTCTATCCCCACCTTGCCTCAGCCAATGGGCTACTGCCAGTCACCATCTAGCCCCCTTTCACTGGGGCCGACTGCAGTCTGTATAAGTCAGTCATCATAGGCAAGGGAGGGTTCGACCTGCTGCCTTTCCCTGCAACCCAGTACCTCCAGGGGCCTTGGACCAGGCCCTGCAGCCTGGGGAGTTGCTGGCCCGGAGCTCCCCAGCTCCTCTGGCCTTTCCCCAGCCCTGCTTCACTCCAGTACCCCTTAGCACTCAGGCAGCTGGGTCCATCTCCCTCCTCAGCTAGAGGGGGACTGCCTGCTCCTGGCCCACTGCCCTCTTATAAGGGCCGGCTGGGCCCTTATTAAGCCAGCTACAGCTCTGGCTGCTTTCCCAGTCAGCCCATCTTTCAGAGCTACAGCCCTCCCCAGGGCTGCTTGTACCCTTCCAGGGCCGGAGCGGGGTGATCACCCCGCTACATCATCACTCAATAAAAGGCTGCACTATAAATCCACGGTACGCCCACTCCTTGAATCCTATGTGGAGTTCTGATCGCCACATCTATAAAAAGATATACTAGGATCGGAAAGGAACAGACCAGGGCACCACAAATGATTACTGGTATGGAACAGCTTCCTTAGGGGGAGAAATAAAAAAAGACGGCGACTTTTCAGCTTGGAAAAGCGATGACCAACGGGGGTTATGATGGAGGTCCATAAAATCATGAATGGTGTGGAGACAGTGAATGGGGAAGTGTTATTCACTCCTTCACATGACATAAGAACTGGGGTCACCTGATGAAGTTAATGGGCAGCAAGTTTAACACAAACAAAAGGAAGTATTTCTTCACACAACACACAGTCAACATGTGGAACTCGTTCCCAGGAAATGTTGCAAATGACAAAAGCATAACTCGGTTCAAAAAGAATTAGATAAATTAATGGAGAACTGGTCCAACAATAGCTATAAGCCAAGGTGGTCAGGGGTGCAGCCCTATGGTCTGGGAGCCCCTAAGCCCCTGACTGACACATGCTGGGAGTGGACGACAGGGGATGGATAAATCAATAATTGCCCTGTTCTGTTCATTCCCCCTGAAGCACCTGGAATTGGCCACTGTTGGAAGACAGGAAACTAGGCTAGATGGACCACTGGCCTGACCCAGTATGGCCATTCTTAAGTTCTTATATTCTTAGCATAGGGCCATAAACAGATCCCTGAGAGATCCCACCTGAAACAGCGTCAGTCACACTCAGGGCAGCTCCCCCTTCTCACAGCAATCGGCTCAGGCTGTCTGCAGACTCAGGCATGTGGGCGTTGCTGGTAACTCTCAGGTTACTCTCCTATCTGCATCTCAAGCTGCCCCCAGACAGTGCAAAGTTTCACTAGTGGGTGGACGGAGGAGGAAGAGATGGGGGGGCGTCCCAATGGAAGGGGGGGGGTCAGAGTGACATCAGGAGAGTGGTGATGAAGAGAAGCATGAAGCTGCTGAAGGAGGGTCTGGCATCATTCGTCCCTGAGGTGCAGTTCCCCATGGTGCTGGCTTGGCTCCCGGAGCCAATGTGCTCCCATATCCATTCGCCATAGGCCACCGTCCGGACATAGACACCAGGATGATTGGGCTGGCCACAGCCTTCCCCCCAACTCACGATCCCCATCAGGAACCAGGTCCCATTGTGGTCACATGCCAGCGGCCCCCCAGAATCACCCTAGAGGGGCAGAGAAATTGGGATTAGTAAGGCCCCCCCAGCCCCAAGTATCCACAGCTCAGCCCCTTGGAGCTCTAGGCATATGGACCATCCCAGGGCCCCACCCACATATTTTTGCCACACCCACTTGAGAAGTGAAAGGAGCATTGTGCCCCTTCCCCCCACCTTTCCCTGAAGGAGGCATTGGTGGCAGAGGTGGGATCCCTAATACATTCACAGCAGAAAGGGTGGCTGTGTTCTTCTGCTCCTGCCCTACACAGAGAACCCTGCTTGGGATGGGCTGGAAGGGCTCCCCAGAGCAGTAGGGCTGGAAGCGTACAGCTTCCATAAAGATGCATGCGGTATTTTCCCATCTCTGAGCAATTGGCTTAGGCTCTCTGCAGACTTGGGGAGGCCCCGGTTACACTCTAGCCACATTCTCACTCTTTTCTATCCATCTGCAAAGACTTGACTATTACTTTAAATAAAAATGAAGCTGGGGCTCTGCCCTAATCACGGGACTCCAAGAGCTGGGGCCTAGGCATGGGACTGTGAGTCCACATGGATCTAAAAGCCAGAGCTGCTCCTGCCTGCACGAAGGAAGTCAGACTGTGGAACTGCACAGCTGCAGCAGCCGTTCTACACACTGCAGGCCCTACATGGCGATAGGGAGACGCACTGGGGCTCACGTGCATCCAGCCGACCCAGAGCCCTCTCTCACCTGGCAGGAGTCCCTCTGCCCTTCAGCGTAGCCAGCACAGATCATGTCGGGTTTGACGGGGTCCCTGCCGATGTTCGGGGCTGGGTCGATGTTGTAGAGGGTGTTGCAGGCTGCAGTGTGGATCAGCTGGACCTGAACCTCCTGCAGCGTCTTGGGGGGTGGAAGAGAGACTGGGGGGGGGGAGAGAATCAGGGTACTGGATCCATCACCTCCTGAAACCCACCCCCATGCCTGACAATTTCCTGTCCCCATCTACCTCCCCCACCCACTCTCCTCCTCTCTAGCCATCTCTCCACTCCATCCCCTCCACCCATATCTACCGCGCTTGCATCCATTCCCCACCTCCACCCAGCTACCGGACCTGCACTGACCCCCAACCATAGAACCAATCTGTGCAGCGCTGCCCCTAAAGGTGGTTTCCTCTGCGAGGATTGAACCAGGGACCATCTGTATCTAAAACAGAAGGTTCCCAACTGAGCCTTGTGGATCAGTTGCCTCATAGCTGGCTGTGAGGGATACAGCCGATCCAGGGCACCCAGCTGGCAGGGGGCAGTAGAGAGCTGGGCGGGGATTATTGCAAGATGCTGCAGGAATCACAGGGCTCCAGGAGCACGGGGCTTCAGGCGCAGAGTGATAGCGCCTCCTCCTGGGGGATGGTCTTACCCTCAGAGTCTATTCTCCCCCAACCAGTGACCCAGCACACGTGGTTGTCAGGGAAGGAGTCGGAGGGGCCTGGCAAGCAGACGGGGAGAATTTCACTGGTGTATCGCACTGGCTCTGTCAGCTGCAGTAGGGCGATGTCGGCAGACTTCCACGTGGTGCTGTAGTTGGGATGGACAAAGATCTGGCTCACGAGGGATGAGATCCGGCACCGGGAGGGATAGGAGAGCTGGTATTCCCCCAGGTTCACACGATAGGAAGAGGCAAGGTCAGATCTGGGAATGGTGGAGAAAAGGATGATCAAATGGATTGCAAACTTGGCCAAAAATGCAGCAGGGTCTGGGGCAGGGCAGCTAGGGACCAGGCGCACAGCTACACCGCATGGGGTGGCTTGCCTGCATAGATCCAGGCAGGACGTCTGTCTGTTGCACCGGTCCCTACCCGCCCCAGTTACTCACAATTGGAAGCAATGAGCTGCTGACACAACCCACTGGGCTGAGATGAGCGACCCACCACAGAAGTGGTGTCCATTGTGCTGGATGCTGACCTGCCACGGCCACCGGCCCCTTGGGGCGTCCCCGCCCCCAACAATTCGGCCGGAGATTCTGGGCTGGCCGCACCCTGGAGGGGAACAGCATTGACATGGGATGAGCAAAGAACCAGGAGTCCTGACTTTCAGCCCCTCTCCCTCCCTGCTCTAACCCACTAGACCCCACTCCCCTCCGAGAGCTGGGGATACAACCCAGGAGTCCGGGCTCCCAGCCTCATTCTCATGGCACTAATCCAGGGCAGGTAAGGATGGCATTTTGAAGTGTCTTACCGGCCTGTTTCCAACTCCCTTGAGCACCTAGAGAGTGAAGAAAGAGAAGGGAAAGATATTAATGTGTACGTGTTGGGGGTGGAGGTTTATGCACAGGCATTGCTGGAATCTAAGAAGGTGTGTGGAGGGGAATAAGTTCCACCTATAATTCCCAAGCTCCGCCCATTGCCCCAGAACAGCCCTGCCATCCTCAGTGCCAGCAAAAATTCATAGCTGTGTTTCTATTTGATTTACCACTAGTAGGTTCAAGAATCAACACTCCCCATTGATCTGAGTGGGGCAGCTCAGGACTGAATGCACCAATCCAGGCTAGATGGGCTGGGGGGGTATATGAAGGGTCAAGGGCTTGGATCTCCTTCTTATTCACAAGCCCAATTCCCTCCCCCACAACCCATATCTCGCTCACCTCCCCCTGGGGCTGGACCCTACATCCCCACCCCACACTCACCCTGCAGCAGGGTCATCGCCAGCAGTGCTAGGGCCAGTGGGGAGCAGAGACGCCCCATGGTTCAGCCTTCCCTAGGCCTGTTTTGGCTGCATGCAGCTGCCTCCATTGCTCCGACCAAAGACTGACTGGGGAATAAAAGTTCTGGGGCAGGTTTTTATGGACACCTGTGTGCCCCTCCCTAGATCTATAGAGAATAATGGGGACTGATTTCCTGGTAACCCAAGCAAGGAAATAAGTGCTACTAAATTCAACGTGCTGAACAGGTTGTGACTGCTTTGATTCTGCTCTGCCTGGTGTCACCCCAGTACGGGCGTCCTGGAAAACCAAACGAAAACATGCAATGGCCGAGGTCACTGTGTCGAGGCCTCCAGTGATTTTCACTTCCCCGTGTGATTGCCAACTGAGTGTGCAAAGCAGAGAGAGCCAAAAATAGTACCCAGGAAAGTGAGACGGTTCTCATGGAGTGAAAATTATGCTGGCTTTGGGGTTATTGTTGAGTTGTGGTTATTGGGGCATTTAGGGCAAAGGTTATTATGGGGATTGGGGATAAGGGTATCATGGAGTTAGGGTTATCATGGGGTTCGGGCTAAGTAACATTATCTGCCCTGTTGCTTGGACCGTGTGGCACTTCTCCTAGCATCACTCTAGATTTGGAGGATCTGTCCCGTATGTCTTGCAAATTCCAGTTGATGCTGTGAAGTCATTATGATGAAATTGTTGTGGTGTGGAGAGCTTCCATGTGGAATATGACATTTCTTGACGGGGAGGGCTGGCTCAGCAAGACTATGTACAACGGTCACTTGTTAGACCCTAAAAGGTCATCCATTCAGGCCGAAACAACTTGGAAATTGGGTTTGCTGAGGCTGGCAGGATCTATCTTTACAACTGCGCTGCAAGGAGGGAGAAGAGGAAAATCAACCAGGGGAGAACAAAGAAACCAGGTGTTGGGACAGGGACACATAACGTGGAGGGAAGACTCACAGGAGTAGGACACTGTGGGCAGAAGGAGGGAAGAGCTAGGAAGGAGAGGGGAGGAGAGGAGCATGCTTTCATTGCTGTTTAACTGTGGACTAGCCAAGGTCAGTGGTAAAAACACCATGATCTGGAAGAAAAGCTATGAGCTATGTATGAAGGATATGGGGTACTCCAGGGGCTCTGTCTAAAACGAAACGACTCTCCCTAGCAGTGAGGAACCCGAGCCAGGGAGATGCACGTCGGTGTCCTGGCTGTTGTGCTAGTAAGCAGAGTTGAGTGACATCTTTCGGAGGAAGAGTTTAATTGCTGAAATATGCAGTTTGGAGTCTACCAAAACGATTCACAAATTCAGATGGAAATTGCCAAATAGTTTCAACAACAAAAAATTCTAAAAAGTGGAATTGTTTTTTGATATATTCCAAAAAAACACATTTGGACGTATCGCTTTGAAGCAAGATTTATTTTGAAAATTATCTAGATTTATTTTTTAAATGTTCATATAAAAGGGATTGAGAAAGAAAGAATGAAAGAATTGGAAATGAAATCATATGAAAACTATACAATGACAGACCTGGTTTAAGCGATGGGTATTCTAAGCTTCTTTTATTCAGGCCGAATGGAAGAAGCAAATAAGCTCCTTTGTGACGTGAGAGTGCTGGACACAGTAGAAGCCACCACCCAAGCTGAAGCCTGAGTGAAGCTGTGGAGGCTGAGGGACTGGTTGCAAAGGCAGGGGCAAACTGTGTATGAGAGGCAAGAGTCAGTTGACAGTGAGAGACGCCATGGACAGCATGAAGGGAAAGAGACAGAGCTTCTTCCAGCACAGGACTGGCTGGATTTGTAGCCTTAGGAATTTCTGAGCAACAGAACTACCTGTTGTGCTTTGTCCCTACTGAGTTCAAGGAAGCAGGGCTTTGTGTGTGCATTCTTTGTGAACAAACAGGATTGCCACCAAAGAATGGACCTGACTCATAGCACCATCCTCTTCTTACAGAAAGAATCTGGCAAGGCCCCAAATGTTACTGAAAGATTTGGGGCCAATTGGGTCACATTTTCTTTGTAACTTCTCCCCAGGTCATTGTCAATGCCAAGAAGGTAGCAGCTCATCACCTGCAAAAGCCACCGGCTGCTGTTTAATTTGCCTTGGTGTGAACAAAGGTAAATAACTAGGCTATTTTTGCTTTCAACTGCCGTAGGGTTGTGCCCATGAATTGCTGAATGAACCCAGGCCGGCTGGCACCGTCCCAATATGACTCACTGCATTCTGCCTGAGAGAATCAGCTCTGTGATCTCAACAGCGCACAAAGCGCCCCTCCCAGAAATGACAACAGATTAGATGTGGTGTTTAAAAGCTACCGTATTACAGCCAGAGACACAAACATCCAAACAGAGCAGTGCCGATCAGTTGAATGTAAGGGACTTCACAGGCTCAGCGGAAAACTTTCCTCTGTCTACTTCAAGTGCTCCAGCCGGATCTGCGCAGGGGCCCTGGTCTCAGTGAGGGTCTATGAAACGCCTCTCACGACGGGGGCCCTGAACTCTCAGCCAGAGTCTGTTCAGCACCTGGCACAATGCTACCCCCTCCCGAAAGGAGTTGGTTTTACTCTTTCATTTCTACTTTGATTAGTAAAACATCTTTTAATAAGGAATCTCCCACTGCCACTTTGAACGGAAACAATGATCCTCACGTGAGGATACTGTAACACCCATTTTTCCATGAAAAAAAAAAGACTTTTTCTAAAAAAAAGAAAAGAAAAAAGCAAACAACTTCTACAGCCCCACAACCCCACTCTGCCTTCCACCAACCTTCGTTACAACCAGCAGGGGTGACCCCAACACACACCCCCACTCCTCAATTTCTCCCCATTCTGTGCCCTGAAGTGTCAGCCCTCTCCTGGACAGCTCAGAGAAATTGTAAAGTTTGTTTGTTCCTTTAAAGACACAAGAGCACTTCACAGCTTATTAACTTAATTGGGGGTAGATACACCCTTCCCCACAGGCGTCGGCCTTTTCATTTCTCCGCCTGTACTCAACCCCGGCTCCGCCCCAGATCCCGCACTCACTCAATCCCTTCCCCCAAGGCCTCAGCCCTACCCCGCCTCTTCCCACCCCTCTCTGCCCCTTCCCCTGAATGCATCCCACCCCCACTACTCCCACTCCCCCCAGAGCCTCCTGCATGCCGCCGGACAGCTGATCCACAGAACGCGGGAAGCGCTGGAAGGGAGCGAGAGGAGCTGATTGGTGGGGCCGCTGGTGGGTGGGAGGTGCTGTAGGGATGGGGGAGGAGTTGATCGGTGGGGCTGCCGGTGACTGATCTCCTCCCAACAGGGGAAACAACCAAACTGAGTGCCTGTCTAGGGGAAGGGCTGGCACCCCGAGGTCAACAAACGGTCAACACCCCCCAGCCAGGGAGGGGGCAGGGAAAGGGGTCTCCCTTTATTTTGTGTTTTGAATGTGTTTCTATTGTCTGGTGGAGGACGCTGCTTGGGCCTGCCCCAGGCCTAGCCAGAGACAATTGATCAATAGCCACCGAGGGGGTGGACGAGCACTATCCAGAGTGGGGCTGATTTACTTTTTTATTTACCTTCTGGTCTTTAAGGCTTTAGGGTTCACACAGGGAGGGGTGACACACACACCCCTACTCCCACGCGCACACATGGAGAGGGGTCACATACTCCCGTATACCTCTCTCACATAGAGGGGTTGACCGACCAACCCAACCCTCCCTTCCTGTCGCACTCCTCCCTCCATGTCTGGCTGGGGCCCCAGGATGGACCCGCCTCTCCTGGTACCTGGCACCGCATCTTCCCGAGGCAACATGTGGAGGGGGCACACAGGGTCACACGCCCCCCCTTCCCCCAGATTTCTGCCAAGGTTCACACCAGAATGTGGCCAGCAGCAGCCTTTCGACACTGTGCGGGAAGGAAAGGACGGGAGCTGCTTCCAGCCGCAGGGGAGGAGCTGGGGGAAAGGGATGACCAGGCTCGTGTCTTTACAGAGCTCATCTCTTCTGCCCACTCCCATCCCCTGTGGCTGGAAACAGCTCCCGTCCCTACCTGCCTGCATAGTGTCGAAAGGCAACTAACACCTCGAGGCTGCTGCTGGTCACCGACATAACCCAGCTACCTCCACCGACTGCGGGGGCAGGAAGGGTTAAGCCCGAAGGCTGCATTGTGCACCAGGGCCCAGGGAACCTGACTGCGGGGGCTTTGGGAAACCTGGCCAGAAAGGTGGCTCAGTGGGGGAGGGTGCCTAGGGAATGGAGACGCCCCACACTCCCTGGGGGCAGGACCCAGGGAAGGGGGGAGGTGAAGAGGGTGCTAAGCCCCTGTCTGGGGGGGTTGCTGTGGAGCCTGCGGGGTCAGGACGGGAACAGGCTGGACATCACTCCCCCCCCCCCACTCCAGAGCTTAGCTGAGGGGTGGAGAGGCTTCCCCGTGCCAGTGCTGTGCGGGGCATTGGCACATGCAGGGCTCGGCTCCTCCTGGCCAGTGCTGAGGGCCGGGGGGTGTTGAGCTTTCCCAGGATGCCGGCTGAGCCAGAGGCAGTGGGGGAAGGAAGGAGCCTGCCAGCCAGGCTGTTGGTGAGGTGAGCGCGCCAACCAGGAGCTGGTTCTCCGCACAGCGCTGGGAGCGGGACGGGCCCTGCCGGGGGTTATGGAGAAGCAGTGGGGCTGTAGCGGGGCAAAGGGGCAAAGCAGGGAGAGGACAGCGAGAGGGGGAGCACATAAAGGGGCGATGGATGGGCAGCAGAGGCAACATGTGACTGGCCACCGCCTGGCGCCTCCCCGCACGCACCAGTCACTGCAGCTCACAGCATGCAGCTTGTGCCAGCTGGAAACGGGATGGGGGCAGGGCCCTGCTGGCCAGGGGCTGTGCTGATGAACCAGCACGGGGAGCGACCGGCTCCACACGCTACAGCTTTGCCCCACCACCAGCCTTGCAAACCCACCCCCATTGTCAGCCACTGGACCCCCCCCCTCACTGGTAGGTGGGCATCTGGCTGAGCAGGGATCCAGCCAGCAGCAAGACCCACCAGTAT